CGATGGATCCTTTATTAAATTTATTAAATTCGTGAACGATTCCCCCTGTATGTGAACAAACAAACAAACAATTTTTTTACTCAACGCAACGAATAAAACAAAAATATTGATATAATAATAATACGACTGTCTAATGTTGACACTCCGAACGAATATAATAGATGGATAACTTGCATTTGAATGTAACGTGTAAAGTCAACGCAATTTTGGCGCTACGTGCCTCGTCTCTCGAATTTGAATACAACATAAAAAGCAAAACCAATGCACAGATTTTTTTGGTCCACGAGTGGGGTAGTTTATATAGTTGATAAAGATAATATTCCAATTCATACAAGAAATATAAATATTAAATTTTATTCTATTAGTGATAAAAAAAGAGAAAAAACTGCACATGATGTTGATGGCATTAATGGATGGATGATTACTTGGGCCAATAAAAATATATTTGAAATAGATGGAAAAGCGTTTTTTGGTTATATAATTTAAAAAGTCAAGCGATATCTCATACTAAGGAATGGAAAAAAATTATTATAAATGATGAAGAAGATATTCAAATAATGAAGTCTCTTCCAAAAGTGAAATTAGTTTAATTCGTGCTCCGTGAGACAACTGCAAAATTTTGCCGATCATTAATATAATTTTGTGGCGATAGTAAAACAATATAATTTTTATCCCTCACGTGATTAAGCATGATTACGCGCGACATTAAAATTTAAAGTTTAAACTTTTCAAAGTAACCAAGCATCTATTTATATTTCTTTTTTTTTTTGAATAAAACTAAATACAAACGCCTATTTGTATTTTTTTTCTTGAATAAATAATTAAATATTATACTTGAATCTTAAGTTTTATATAGCAATTTTAGGCAAGAATCCAGCGGTCCCTCCATATAAAGATAAAATATTTTATAAGAAAGTCCCTTTGAAAATTTGTATATTAAAACTTTGGGTTTCTTATTATTTATTACATTTGCAAATACAATTTATAAATTCGTATAAATAATAGTTTTTTAGGAATGAAGTATGGGTTCCGGAAAATTTCAATTGGTGATCTGTGAAAATTTGCACCAAATTCTATTATGAAATTATTGCAGTTGTTTCATGTATCACGAATTAATACAGAAATGCTGATTTGCAGATCATACAGTACAGGAATGCAAAAGAGTACAGTACCGAATGTCTACTGACTGCTGTATGATCTGCAAATAAGCATTTCTGTATTAAATGTTACAAGTATAGAATCCATTTGATTGGTAGGGTGCTGTGTACTGTATGTTGGTATATGACTTTTTTAAAAAAATTTCTATTTTTGTAGACCATACAGTACAGGAATGCAAAATAATACAGTACTGAATGTTTATATACTCCATTTTTGATTGAAAATTTTTTCTCAAAATTGGCAATGTGGTGTAGAAAGTTATGGGACTAGGCAACTTGCACTATATAAGTAATCTATGCCATAATGATAAATTTTAGGGAGGGTAATTTTCATTTTTATGGAAGACAATTTTTGCTAGAAAAGGTCCCATATGTTTAATTAATGGCAATGTAAAATTAATGGCAATGTAAAATTAATGGCAATGTAAATTAATGACTATGTAAAATTAATAGCTATGTAAAATTACAACTCACACTCTCTATAATGGATCATTAAAAACATCAATAAAGCTAAAAACTCAAGATGGAAAAAAAGCAATTGAGATTGAAAGAAAATTTTAGGACAAAGTGATTTTGCTAGAATAGAAAATGTTAAGCAGAATGAACATTTACAGATAGATCAATCTTTGATGCATGTTGCTCAAAATTTTTTGAGGATTTGAGGCATGAACATCAAAAATCATAATTTTGAGTTGATACCACATATATATGTAACTTCTCAAGGAATAATTTTAGCTTAGAAACTATGCCCACTTAATAAAATTTTGAGAAATTTTCTGTTAGAGTTTTTTTAAAAAATAGTAAACAAGAGATTGGCAATAGAAATTACAAAGATCATGGTTTTGAGTTGACAACATTTATATATGCAATTCATCACAAAAATTAATTTTAGCTTAGTAACCATGCTGACTTTACTTAATAAAATTTTGAGATATTTTCCATTAAAGGGTTAAAAAATAATAATAGAAATGCAGATTTTTTTTCAATTTTCTCAAAATCATGATTTTGACATTGACCCTTTCTATTGCCCATGCCCCATTTGTGCATGTATGTACAAAAAATGTAAATAGTTTAGTTTTTTGTATTATATATAGAAAAATGTAATAGCACACAAATTTTTCATTGAATTTGTGCACTATATTTAAAATTTTTGTCTTATTTAGAGATTAGAGATGAGCAAAATTGCATAATGTCATTGAGTTTTTTAAAATGCATATAATGTCCCAATGAGTAATATAATGAACATGTAATGCCTCCACTTAGTAAAATTTGGACTCATTTTTACAAAGTGTAATTATTCTTCACATAAATTGCTTGCCACTGCAAATTATTGTGAACAACACCTTAAATGTACCAAAGTTTCCACAAAAATGTTGCAATATTGATATAGATGAAGATGAATTATATTGTGAAAATGAAGATAATGAATTATCAGAAGTGGAAGAGAATTTAAATGATAAGATTATGGAAAGTGATGAAGGAAGTTATAATGAATCAAATGGGTCAGATAGCACAGTTGAATTATATGAATCAGATAGATATGATTATAAATAATTTTAAATAGAAAAGATCATCACGTGCGTTATACAAATTAATGTTCGAAAAGTTGCCCATCGCTAGTCTCATTGTGCACATGAATGAATTTATAATAATAACAATAAATAAGTTTTTTCAATAAAAATTGTCACCTGATTTAGTTTATTTAATTATATCCCACAAACATCTAAAAAAGAGGAATATAAACAAGATATGACTGTATAGGGTTATAGGTATATGAAAATTAATAATTATAATGACTCTACTGAATATGAAAAGGCAATTGTTTTTTAGAAGCAGACTGCAAATGTGGTAGTTCATCAATGGTTCCAAGAATGAATTTGCAGAATTACATAAATTCTTTCAAGCTCTTCCAAGTCTGAACAAGACATGTTTTTGATGGCTTGACTTAAGGCAATGGATGGTGGATCAATGGATACTAGCAGATCTAACAAAAGAGCTTCCAACTGTTGGGATCACAATATATCTCTTTGTCAAAAATTTATTTTAATATGTTAAGAATAAGTAGGACTTACTTTGAAAAGCATCAGGAAACATCTGATAAACAATGGGCTTATATCATGAGTTTATGGTAATATTAAAAGAATGCTCCAATGAAAAATTAAAATGGCAATGACAGAAATGTTGCTGAGATTGTAAAGAATGTAATTACTGATTATTGAGATATTTTAGTTTACCATATACATTACAATAATAACTCACCATTTGTTGGTGCTATGAACATCAAATCACCACTATTTGAATTGTCTTTATGAGATTATTTGTAAGAATTACTTTTCTTAACCATAAAACAATATTATAATGTTTCTTTTTCGAACAGGTACTTTAATTATTGTAAAAGTACAAGTTATCTTTATTAACTTAAAATGATGTCCTTTATATAATAAAATTACATAGATTGATAAAATATAAATAATA